ACGGAGGCAAAATTTTGCGAACGGAGCTGTTCATGACCCGAATTGGTCGTGAACAGAAGCGTTCGTGACCCGAGGTACCACTGTATTTGGCTAACTGTACTGAGCAGTAAAAGTCCAGTAGGTTAGAGAATTGCTGAAATCTGATTCAGCATCTTTTAGAAGCACTGGTGGAACACTTAGAATTAGATTGGTATGATCATTTAATATATACCAGCTATTTCATACTCCACAGTCACTAGCTGTTTTTCCACAAGTTTTCTATGTCATTGCCAGCCCCAAGCCATAAGTATCATGCAGGCTGTAAATACTGTTCTCTGGGCTCTGATGTAGTTGGGTTGCTTAGCATTGATATAGAGCAGTGTTTCTTAACCTTGGCAACTTTAAGATATGTGGACTTCAACTCCCAGAATTCCCCAGCCAGCTTGCTAGCTAGGGAATTCTGGGAGTTGAAGTCCACACATCTTAAAGTTGCCAAGGTTGAGAAACAACCGTATAGAAACATAGGAAGCTGCTTTATAAAGTGCAGTTTTTGTTTTCCAATACCGGCTGGGTTCACACATGCTTTCAGTCTTAATGCCATTTTCTTATTTATTGTATAGCATGTTGATTCCAGCTTCTGTCATTTGTATACTACATTTACAGTTTAGTGTGTTATGGATCCAACCTATTGTGTTCATTCAGTAAGCTGTGCTTAAAGAAATAATGGCTTCATAGAATGATGAATCCTGCATTTGACTAGTAATGCCTCCTCAGTTCTATTGGAGATGACAGGAAACTCTCAAAGCATTTGGTTGATATCCATGTGCAGTCCACACATGCGGGTGCACATACACATATACGTGCATTGCTCAAGAGATCAGATCAAGTTACTTATTTCAGGATTCAGACATTGGAATTCATCCGCCCCCACTGATCCAGGTACCATGCTGAGCTGGGACTGCAGCTCTATCTCCAAGCCCTGGAGAGTCCTTCTCAAATCCGTAATCTCCGTCTTGCTGGTCTGAAGCTGTTCAGTATTGACGGCGACCTCTTTATTCAGTTCTTCAGTCTGTATATTTTTAAAGGGGAGATGACATTTGTAAGTCAGATCCTGATTTGGGGAACCATACCAGCCCAATTTCTCTTCCTGAGTTGCTTTCTTGAATGCTCCCCCTGCCCCATTTCATTCTCTCCCCATTTCTCCATCTCACCTTGCTCGTAAACCATGCCTCGGCATCCCTCCGGTTCTTCTCAGCCAGCAGTTCATACTGGTCTCTCATGTCAGCCAGGATCTTGGTGAGATCAATGCCTGGGGCAGAGTCAACTTCAACACTCACTTGGCCACCCAGTTGCCCGGAGAGAGCACTCATTTCCTTTAAAATGAGATAAAGTCCAAGCATTAACTGGGGACCTGTTTGCACAGCAGCAATCAACTGCATTTAACTTCCCCTTCATTTGCAGAAATAGGTGAGCTACCCACAGGCCAGTTAGGATTAACTCAGACACAGTCTGAGTTTGCTTTTTTTTATCAAAAGCATCCAAAGAACTCAGGTCAGTATGAAAGGCCTCTGAAAAATTATTCTTCTTTCTCACTGGACCTTCCCAGTCCTCAAAAGCTGCTTTGCTCTCTCTCTCTCTATCCTTTGTGGATATGCTGGCACCGTCTTTAGTTGACATCCAGAGCTTCCTGTGATGATTCCCTCCATTGTTTGAGAGAGGGTATAAAATTCTTGTCTAGATGACAAGGAAGATGGTGACAGAAAGGTATTGATGGAGAAAGCTCCAATGTATTCTTCTTTTTCCTTACCTTTAAGTAGCAGGAATACAGGGAGCAGCAGCAAGAACACAGCAAAATTAAAGATCATCATGTCTCCTATCAAGTGTGTTAATGACCCCAGTAAGAGAAAGAGAAGGAAAAGCTTAACTTCTCCTCTCACCATATATACCTCCATAGCCAATAATGAGCAGCAACCCTAATAGCTGAATCCAAAAGGCATGCAGTGCTCTGGTATTGGACTAAAACTCCCATCATTCCTGACTATCAGCTTTGGTGGCTGGGTCTGACTGGAATTGGAGTCCAAGAACATCTGGAGGACTGCAGTTTCCTCCTGTCACTTTTCCAAGGCGATAGAAAGCATGAGTCTGGTTACCCTTTGAGAACTAATTTCTAAGAAAAAAATCAACCCCAGGGAATCTACAGCTCTATACTGAATTACTTAAATGGAAGTATGGTGTGCTCAAATTCATCCTGCAGAAATGATTTCTCCTATCTCTTTAATAGCTGAGAAATTGAAGCTATCATATTCTGTAAGGCATTCTGTATGCATAAGCCTGTAGAATGATTTAATTCTGAACATTTGATTGAATCCTGTAGGGCAGGGTTTCTCAACCTCAGCAACTTTAAGATGGGTGGACTTCAACTCCCAGAATTCCCCAGCCAGCCTGGCTGGGGAATTCTGG